ACACACACACACACAGAGTCCCTCATGTCCAGACTCACACGCCTGTAAAAGTGCTTAGAGATTGTTGGAACCAAAAATCTGAGCTTCAAAGAACCTTCTTCCCCAAGCCCTTTGATGAGAAGTTTTTCTCCCTTTCTCAGAGTCCTGGGGTCTGGGGTATAGAGGATCCACTGTCTGGGAGAGCTACAGTATCTTGTGTGGCTGTACCCTTTTCCCTCTCATCCTGCTCCCCTAATCACTGCTTTCCCTTGCTGTCCGTGCTTCCTGTTTTCCCCCAAAGTGGGAAGAAGTATGCATGCTCGTGAAAGGTTTGTACATTCATGTGTATATATACACATGAGGGTGATGGGCCCAGCTTTGTGTATTGTAGAATCATAGATTTATACACTTCAGAGCAGCAAGGGACCTTTGAGGTCACAGAGTTCATCTCATCCCTCTCTCTACCATCCACCCTGAAGACTAGGTCTGGCATGGATGGGGTGCCTGCTTACATATTTGTGTGGGGGAAGGGTGTTCCCTGTAGTGTAAGACACATTCAGCTACGTATATAAATATGCATGCAATTGTGTGGCAGTTTATCCATGTACATATTTTTATATGTTTACATTATGTCTATACTTGTGTGTGTTCATGCATCTATCTCAGAAGCTAGGATGAGAGAATCTCAATGAGTTTAGGGCAAAGCTGATTAAAGTGAGAAAATGGCAATGACCATGAGCTTTGTAAGGAAAAACAAAGATAAGGCATCATGAAAGAGGTTTGGAGTGGAGAGGGTTAGGGGTAGGAGGACCTAGCTGTACCTACTCTCTGATCCTGGGACCCCATCAGATTTTTTGGTCTATATTAGGGTTTCCCCCTCCAGCTCCCATAGGACTAGGCTGGTGGGAGGACCAGACCAGGATGGGAGGACCCACTCAATGTATTCAAGGGTGATTTTAGATTTGTTTCCTCTAAAATGGAAACAATAATCCCTGACTCTTGTTATAGGGCTAGCAGGATATATAGCCAATGGAGCACACTTTAAGAAGCAAAATAAGAAGTTCATAAGTGGAAAGGGTAACTGGGAGGATAAGAATGAAGGCAGAGCTCTAAATGCAGAAGAATGGAGTAGAAATTGTTGGACTGATTTGTCCCATAACTGCCACTGTCCACAGTGCTGAAATCTGAGGTCAAGGACAAGAGAAGAGGCTCTGAGTTTTCTATAAAAGTTACAGGAATGTTCTATTGTTCTGGGCTGTTCTCCATGACTGGGCCTGTCTCATTATTGGGTATGGAGGAGATCTCTGTTATGGAACTAGGGCCTGGGGAGAGAGTCTTGAGGCAAAGATACTTTCTTTGTCCCCATCTGAAGATGAGAGTGGAGAAGGGGGGAAACTTTCTATACCCTTCTGGATTTTGGTTGGAGACTAGACTGGGCTAAGGGTAGCAGAATCACTGCCTGAAGGGAGGTTTCTAGTTCCTGTTTTGGACTTGGGCCTGAGGGGATTAACTTTCTGTCCCTATCTGTGATTGGAAGTGAAAGTCTCTTAGTCTCTATTTAGGTCTTGGGATGGGGGTGGGGGTAGTGGAAATCTTTTTGAGGTTCCCTGGAGGTGTCTTTCTGGTCTACTGTCTCAGGTCTTTGTGTTTGTCTATGTGTGTCTTTGTGTGTTCCAGGTTTCCTGGAGTTGCCTTTCTACCCTACTATCCCAGGTCTGTGTGTGTGTGTGTGTGTGTGTGTGTTTTAAGGTTTCCTGGAGTTGTCTTTCTGTACCATTGCCCCAGATCTGTGTGTGTTTGTGTGTGTTCAAGGTTCCCTGAAGTTGTCTTTCTGTATTACTGTCCTAGGTCTCTGTGTCTTTGTCTATGTCAATGTGTGTGTGTATGTGTGTGTGTGTGTGTGTGTGTATGTTCCAAGTTCTCTGGAGTTGTCTTTCTATCCTACTGTCCCAGGTCTCTGTGTATTTGTGTCTGTGTGTGTTTAAGGTTCCTGGAATTGTCTTTCTGTCCTACTGTCCCAGATCCCTGTGTCTTTGTCTATGTCTATGTGTGTGTTCAAGGTTTCTTGGAGTTGTCTTTCTTTACTATGGTCCCCAATCTGTAAGTTTGTGTGTGTGTGTCTGTGAGTGTGTGTTCAAGGTTTCCTGAAGTTGTCTTTCTCTACCGTTGTCCCAGGTCTCTATATGTCTGTCTGTCTATCTGAGGTTTTCTGGAGGTGTCTTTCTAGCCTACTCTCCCAGGTTTCTGTGTGTTTGTGTGTGTAAGTATGTGTGTTCAAGATTCCCTGGAGTTGTCTTTCTATCCTACTGTCCCAGGTCTCTATATGTCTGTCTGTCTATCTGAGGTTTTCTGGAGGTGTCTTTCTGTCCTACTCTCCCAGGTTTCTGTGTATTTGTGTGTGTAAGTATGTGTGTTCAAGGTTTCCTGGAGTTGTCTTTCTGTACTACTGTCCTAGGTTTCTGTGTCTTTGTCTATGTCAATATCTGTGTGTGTGTGTGTTCCAGGTTCTCCGTAGTTGTCTTTCTGTCCTACTGTCCCAGGTCTCTGTGTCTTTGTCTATGTCTGTGTGTGTGTTCAAGGTTTCTTGAAGTTGTCTTTCTGTATCATTGTCCCAGATCTGTGTGTTTGTCTGTGTGTGTGTGTATGTCTGTGAGTGTGTGTTCAAGGTTTCCTGAAGTTGTCTTTCTCTACTGTTGTCCCAGATCTATGTGTTTGTCTACATGTATGTTCAAGGTTCCCTGGAGTTGTCTTTCTGTACTACTGTCGCAGGTCTCAGTGTGTTTGCCTCTGTGTGTGTGTGTGTGTGTGTGTGTGTGTGTGTGTGTGTTTGAGGTTCCCTAGAGTTGTCTTTCTGTCCTACTGTCCCAGATCTGTATCTTCTCCAGGAATTGTCTATTTGTCCCTGCCTTGGGTCCTGGGAAGATTCTCTCTCCCTCCGGTGAGAAGTGTCTTTGTCCTGCCTGGGTCTGCATGTTTCTCTGTCCCCGCCTATATCCTTGGGAAGGGACTTATTCAACCTGCGTGGGGAGGAGAGAAGGGGTGGGGAGGGGGTGGGGGAGAGAGATAAAGACCCTAGATCCTACAGAGAGGGATCCCGGTGTTTTTGCCCTGTAATGATTACACTCGTTCTCAGGGATGGGGCGCCCTCGTGTGGCAGACGGGCTGCGCGTCAGACGAGAAAAGACGAGAGTAAAGTAGGAACCTCGGATACTAAAGGGAATAAAAGTCGATGCGAGCCTGGGGTCCGGAGTGCGAATCACTCACCTCAAATCTCTGTGCCACCAGCGTCGCCCAGAATCTATGAGCGGGTCGGTGCGGTGGGACTGCTAAAAGGACCCAAAGACTTATTTCTAAAAGGTTGTGGGTTTGGAGTGGGGAGAAGGGAGTGGGCTTGGAGAGAGCAAGGTTAGGGGCGGCAGACAGGAGTTCTGCGGTGCCAGAGCGACCTCAGAATGAGGAAGGAGACCCCTGGAAAACACAAGAAGCTTAGGAAGTGATCTTCTTCCCCAAAGACACAAGTCAAAAGATTAAAGGAGACAGAGAGAGAAAGGGCATCAGAGAAAACCAGATAGAAATAGGGTAAGAATCAGAGAGATTGACACAGGCACAGTCAAATTACATGTCACTCCCCCTCACCCCAGTTTTGTTGGTTTTGAGGTGTAGTGTCGTCATGACAACGATACCCCTCCCAAGCCTGACCTCCTGGATCTCAAAATATCTAAGGGGTCGGAGAGTGGGGGAGTAGAGGTGAAGGAGGGGAAGAAAAGAAAACTTTTCCTACTTCCCACCCTTACCCTCTCTCCCCGACTCCAACCCCCAGCTGCCACCTTCCATATATTCCCACCGAGAAAAGAATCAGAGCCCTGCCATTTTTGAGAAACTTTTTTTGAAGTATTGGGGTGGGGGATGGGGGACTGTGTCGGAGAGGCTCCGCCTCCCCCAAAGAGATGCCCTCCCCCCACTGCAGCCAGTGATCCCTTTTCCCGACAGTCAGTCCTTTCATATCCCAGGAGGGCTCTGAGACCAGAGCCACCCACTTTTGTGGGGGGGCCAGTGACTGAGGGATGGGGTGTGTCGGGGGCAGCAACTGCAGCATGAGCTGGTGCCCCCGCAGCTGTCGGAGCCCCCTGGGACATGCTGTCCGATTCCTATTCCAGTTTGTGACCGGGACACTGGCGCCAGGTTCGAGGGAGTAAGGGAGAGGCCACTGCTGGATTTGAAAGACCAGGATTAAGGAGTAAAGGTGGGGGGTTGGGACCGTAGAACCCCTGGCAAAGGTAGGGCTAAGGGCTTCCAGCCTCTAGGGGTTGGGGTCTCAGCTGGTGAATATCTGACTAGGAGGGTACTGGAGATGGGACTAGCTGGAAACGCAGCATCTGATGGGACCTCAGC